ACCCACCCCACCCCAGCCACACTTTTTTTTTTAAAGAAAAATTATGTGTTGTAATATAACAGTTTGACAATAAGAATAGTAAACTTGAACTACTTCCTTTTTTGATCTTATTTAAGTGTAGTACTTTTATAATAAATAACATACACATTTCAAAGTAACGTTTTCTTTTATTACCTGAAACTATTGAGCTATACCGTGACACAAGGCTAATTTTGTATAGAAAAGCAGTTGAATGAACGCAAGGGAAGAGTAGTAGTTGTAGTAATAATAATAGTCCCACTATATCCAACTTTAGGAAAAGCAGAAAGGGGTGGGGTTGCACACGATTCTTGTTGCCTTTCCAATTGAATTTTCAAAGAATAGTTTGTCACCATCTAGTTTTTGCTTTTCCTCATTATCTTTTGTCTTTCTAGTGAGACTATTCATATTTCTACACAACTTTCTTGTTCTTGGTCTAAAAATATTGAAAAAGGGATCTATATATGTTTCTGCCATGGATAAGAGTAAAGTTCTCATGGATATTGTGGAGCTCTAACATATATAAGAAAGTGTTAGTTATTACTCATATCATATGTAAAACTGCTGGAAAGTACGTAACCCAGAATTAATGAGATTCTTCTTTTAGGTACCAAAATAATAACTCGGCCAAGCTTAATGTGATTCGTACAACTTTTTGCCTTTTATCTTGTACATTTACCACCGTGCTTTTTCTCTATTTGCTTTAGATTTTATAATGATCAAGAGCAAAATGTGATTGCAGTTAGATGTTCTACCTCTTACGAGTAGATTTTCATATTATTTATCTAATCTACTTTACAAATTGGTGAAGAGTTTGAAGGGACAGTACTTGGCGGATTAAGATTTAAGGGATTGCAAAATTGTAGAGATATTCACTGTCTTCAGCTAGAATTATATTATTATTGAATGTTCTTATGAGATATTTATTGACGATAAGTTCACCTGCATTAGTACAATCTAATAGTAGGTGCAAAAAATTTAAAACCCTAAATTAAGAAATTCTTATTTAATTAAGAGTCTTGGCATAACTGGTAAAGTTGTTGTCAGGTGACCAGGAGGTCACGGGTTCAAGCCTTGGAAACAGTCTCTTGCAGAAAATGTAGGGTAGGACTGCGTATAATAAACTCTTGTGATCTGGTCTTTTTCCGGATCTCGCGTATAGCGGGAGTTTAAATGCATCAGGCTTCTGCCTTTTTTTATTTAATACTTCTATGCATGTGTTAATAACTTACATGAAACATAGTATATAACTATCTGACACTAACATAGAGAAGAAACAAACGACTTGAAGCAATTTCAAGAAAAATTAGAAACAAATAGTACTAGTAAGTATAGGTCTAGGCGGTTTGGAAAGTAGCCTATGGAACTTGTAAGATGGATCTCTTGGGATTGCTATCCTCTTTCAAAAATATTGAAAATAATGTAAGTGTATTTGCTAAGACTGAAATTATTTTTTAATAAAAAGTAATTTTTGGTAATTATTTTTAATTGAATCTATTGCCCAAAAAATGACTTATGTCCACTAGTGAGAGAAGTCACTTAATATTTTGTTTTGATGAAAAATATTTTTCGAAAAATATTTATACAGTAACCAAACACCGGAAATCAACTTCTTTCATATAAAATATTTCTTAAAATATGACTTATTCATCCAACACATAACGAAAAGAATACTTGAAAAGCAAAAGGTTGGGATCATAATTACCCTGAATTTAAGCTAACCGTATCTCATAATGCTAGGAAATGAGCAGCACTTTGAGCACTTTGGTCAAGCCTTTCGGCTGCAATGATAAGAGACTGATTGCGAATTAGGTAAAGTTGTAAAAAAATGTCTACACAGTTTAATCTAGTTAGAAGAAATAAAATACTATTTTCGTTATAATTTATGTGGACCTATTTTATTTTTAGTCCGTACAAAAAAGATTGACCATTTTCCTTATTTGGAAAGAATTTATCTTTATGCAATGATTTATAATCATACAAAATATATGTGTCTCATTTTACACCATAAATTTAAAAATCTTCTCTATTTTCTTAAATTTCGTGCCAAGTCAGATTCAAATAAATAATAGTTGTTTTCCTCGAAAGCATTACCTTCACTAATTATTGAAAAGACAAGGGTCCTACGAGATTAAAAAGTTGATAACATATCTCTAGGGATTAATTTTGGCCAAAATTTAACTGATTGCTATTATTAACCCTTTTTTGTGTTTTTATTAATCAATCATGCTTCTTGTAATCATTTCGTTTCCCACTTCAATTTTTCCTTTATTTTTTTTTCTTCTCCTTGACAACTCCAGCGGATTCAATCCCACTCCTTAATCTATGCTTAAATCTTTTATATTTTGGTTGCCCGTTAACCCAATCTTTTTGCAACATTGAAAGGATAATAATTTTAAAATGACCATTTGCTCCTGGTTTTCCAAATCCATAGATCTCATAAAGCTGTCCTTGGCAAGGATATTTTCAAGGAAAATAATCTTTTATGAAGAAAAAATAAGAAAAATCTAGGTACAAAGTATTTTGCATTCACGCAGGGTTCGGGAAAAGACCGTCCCCGTAAGATGTAACGTAAATAGTCTACTCTAATGCAAGCATTAGTGGCCGTTTCCATGGCTCGAACCTTTGACCTATAATTTTTTAATTGTAAACTCTAAGCTTTCCTTCTTCTTTTTTTTGTATTTCATAAATGACCATGCATGCGGCCGTGGAGTTAAACAATACTGTTTGAAGTATGGCCACTTTCATAACTTGCACTAGCTAAAAAATAGGACTTTGGCATCACAAGTTAAATGGTTCATCACTGATAAGAAACTCTTATCTCTAATTGGTTTCAAATTACCTAATCTTTGATTTATCCATGGGATGATGACCGCAAAAAAGCACTTAAAGTGTATTAAGAAGTAAGTTTGTGGGTCAATGACAAGTATATGTTAAAGCTAGGGAATTGAATAGACAATAAAAATGTTTAACCATGAGAGCCGGAATCATGATTTGAAGCTTATGGGTTTGGGGTTGTAATCTTTTTAAGTTACTGGGTTCTAAATTAATAATTTATACATATTCTATTAAATTTTTTAAACAAATATATGGATTGGACCAAAGCGTCTGGGTTCGACCGAACCCGTACTCAATGGGCTAGCTCATTAGTGAGTAGCTGAAGCAATAAGCGATGAAGACATGAAGTAATGTGGTAATTGGTTTACTAACACTTAATCGTGAAATGGAAATACAATTATTGATGTAAACTATGGGAGAAGTGAATTCAAGATTTAAATTTAGTGGGATTCACTCTTTAGGGTTTTACTAAGAAATCTTAGTAATTTTCTTACACGTATTTTTATTTTACTTGTAGAAAATATCGAGTTTAGCTAAATCCGGTAATTATATACCCCATCTACCTATGTATTGATGAGTTTGTGATAGGATAATTAAACTCTATGATTCTGAATTAAAGGTTTCGAATTTGAACTTCAAAAAAAAAAAAAAAAAAAAAAAAGGGGAACCAAAAACCTCAGTAGATCTACTAGACTCATTGAACCTATCTGACGCAAATCTGAATGTAAATTTTAGAAAAGAGAAAAAAGAGGATACAAATAGTGCATTTAGTTAATCCATGTAGTGCATCACAAATATGACTAATTTTTAAATTTCGATGGATTTTGTTATGCGGCAATGAGGCATTTGGGGAAATAATTATTTTGCTTTACTGTTGTTTATTTACATACTTAACAAATAGCAGGAAGTTGGCAATTTACACTACGGAGAAAAAGAAAACAATATCATCAATAACTCTGCAACAAATTTACAGTACGAGCCGATTTGTTTATATTAGGAGTAATGTCTATTACCTATTATTCAATCAAGACTTCCATAAAATAGCAGTCCATTTCTACTTTTAAAAAAAAAATCAGAACTTCCAAATAATCTTTTCTGATGAGTAGAATTGAACAATTTTAGGCGAAGAAATGTTTATCTGAACCATTAACCAAGAATTATTTCATTTAAATCAATTAATCTGTTAATTAATCATCATTTATGTATAAGTATTGTTTTGAATTCTTGCAGGCTAAGGAACGGTAGTATGTTAGAAGATTTTCCTTTCCGTTTGAGAAAAAGTTATTCCAATATTCGGCGTGTGCTTCTTGATAAATGATGGTGAAAAGACTTGTTGATATTCCAAACGAATAATGCAGGTAAAGATTTTCTTTAGCAAGTGCCACGTTATTAATCATTGGACTTCTCTGACAATACGTTTTGTTCACTGATTTGATATTTTTGATTCCCCCAAATTTTATTAGTAATCCCATCCTATTTGACCTTTACAAAGCAATGACAAAAATTTGAAGCAATGGATGTTGAGAGTCCAAAGAGGACCCCTACCTCGCCGACTCAAATAATTCCAACCAAAAGAGAAATTGGAAAAGTAACCAATTGAATATGATATTGAAGACTTATAATCTACCCGTACAAGGTAGGAGTAAAACAAATGGCTATGAATTATCCTTCGCAGATTCATTCGTGAAATTACACTAAATTTGTTATTGTTGTTATAATTATAACAAACACTTATAGAGTAGTGGTAATTATAGTTGTTTTCTACGGAATAGGAGTGAGTTCGATTCGTGCTGTATTTCTTTTAGGTGTGACAGAATAGATGTGAGTTTGATTCTTACTGTATTCGTGTTAGGTGTGCGGATAAAGTTTGTATTGGTATCTTAAAACATTGGAAAGATACATACTAGGTGTAGGCAATGACTTTTATGGAGAAAATACACATTTTGATTACACTATGTTAAGAAATATTTGTTGGCTGACTTAGCCAAACACTCCCCTTTTCTTACTTTCTCCTCTCATTTAATAGACTCAAGGATATTTTTTATTTTAAAAAAAAGACAATCAAATTGCTCCCTATCTTTGCAATTATCAACAATGTTAACTTGATACGGGATGTTACGCAACACTTATTTTTTCCAGATTATTAAAGCAATAAGGTGCTATTAAACACTTGTTTAGAGTATTAGGGCAGTCTGTTATAGTCAGATCATTCTCATGTTAGTGAGACTTCTCCAGTACAAGAAATTGTAGATGGATATCTAATTGAAATAATAATTAACCATTATCCAGTAGGCAATATACTCTAGTATATTTTTATTGAAAGATAACAAAATGAAAAAACTAAAAAGTTAAAATACAACACAACCAATTGAATAGTTCTACTTTGGCAATATGTAGTTCAGAAACTCAAGAAAAGGAATCAGGACATGATAAATTAAAAGTCGAAAATTGGCGTCCCTATCAAGTATTCGGTAATGAAAATGGTCTCATCACATAAAAGACATGCTTTGAAGTATATCCTGTTTCATCAACTTAATAGTCATTTGCTTAATTACTAATATATTTTCGTCATAATTATGCTACAGATAAAATAAGATTAAAAACAAACAGTGAAATGAATCAATCAGTATAAAGTACATTGCCTGGAATACTTAAAATCTGAACGTAAAGTTTGAATATGACTTTATAAGACTAAAGATTTATGTACTTTCTAGGAATACAATAACGAATTTTCAGCTGGATGCCTGAACGTTTATCATCAATGTGGAAGCAGTTATACTTTGTGAATAAGTTTTGACCTTTGTATAGTACTTGAAAACTTGTATTTCACTTCCTTAAAGTACCAGTCGAAGAAAAAGAATAAGAAAAAAGTACTATAGCATAAAAGAAAACAAAATGTTTTTTGCTAATTCACGTACGGAATGTTCAGAATGTGTATGGAATTTGCCAATTCACGTCAAGAAAGTGGTAGGATTCTTTCATACCAAAAGCTTAATATCCTTCAAAAAGATTGACTAAAACCATTGTCGGCCCTGATTGTTTATTACTTTCCAAATATAGTAGAAGACATAACTTATAATGTAACTCCCCACCTCCCACCTCCCACCCCCC